TGAGACAAAGATATAGGGATGGTGTCATGTAGCTTTGTGCATCTTTGCTGTGTAATGACCCCTTGTTTCTTCCTTTTTGGTGCTTCAAGCCATCCCTATATCCCCCTTTCATTTTGAAGAAATGATTTTTCCACTTGTACCTATAACAACAACACGGTCGCACTGCCAAAGGGATGCTAATATCTACCATTGTAGAATATGCTTGATTCAATACTCTCACTTTTGTGTGGCATATGTGCAGCAGGTTTAATGTTCAGAGTCTGATGCGATGTGTCCATGTCCATTATATCGATGCATGTATGTAGATGTATAAAGTAACGTTGGTATTGTGCTTAGACTGGACGTAAGGTAGCTGACTACAGGCTATATTTTCTAGAAACGCAAGTAGTATTTTGGTGCCAGATTGTACTTGGTATTAGTATAATTATATAGGCATCTCATTACAAGGGATAAGTGTAGCCATTCTTTGCCTTTGCCCTCCTACCCTCAGATTGCCGAATCCACCTCTTGCCGGGAAACTTTGTGTCAAAGATTGGCTATTTCCCTGGCATTGGTTCTATTGGCAGTGCTTCCGGTAAAGTGAGGCATCAGTAGGGCAGCGCCAAATCCTTTGTATACCTCGTCAGGTTAAACTTCGTGAGCTATATTCCCTTGCGTTTTTTACCATACGCATGCCTACCAAGTTTTGTCTTTGTTGTTGTTTACAAACATGTACAAAGAGCATGTATATACTGTTGTGTTTTGACACTAATTATATAATAGTGACTGAATAAAGCTCTTAACCATTAAGTTGTGAGTTACAGGACTGGAGTGCCCTTTATATTATATTGTTTAATTGGTTTTAAAAAGCATTGTTTACAAACAAATAAGTATATAATTGTTATGACTATGCTCATCTGGTTATGGGTGTTGAAGTTTTCTACATCTATGATGCTAGGTACCATGCCCAATCGCTATACTAACTTAGTGATTATTGACCTAGCCGTCTCTTGTTGTTCCCCCATTAACCCTCGGCGTGCATGCGCAGCGAGGGTTACGTTCTGTCATTCTGTCTGTCTGTCTGTCTGTCCGCGCGAGTTCTCGCACTACAGGCCACAAGGCAGCCAATGAGTGGCACCAACGGGTTGTGAACAACGAGAAGATGGATATTAATGTGGTGATTTTTCTGAAACGTCTGCGTTCCAAAGATATGGCATGAAACCAAGCGAAAAAGCGTACGCGAGCGATCCATGGCGCATGCGTGTATGTGGGTGTATACCGTTTGCCGGAGCATCAGACGCGAGCGATCCATTGCGCACGCGCGTATGTTTCCGTAGCTATCGTTTGCTGGAGCATGCGAGATGCCACGTGGTTATTTTAGTTGACCTTGGACAAGCAAGCGGTTCTTGAGTTTCTCTCCTCTGTCAGTGTTGATCTCTGCGTGGACATGCAGTACATTGTTTCCCGCCAGAGAGTCCTGCAGTACTGCACCAAGTACGTCACCAAGAGTGAGCCACGGTCTCAGTCACTCAAGGAGATCTCCACTGTTCTCGATGGACAACAAACTGAGCAAGGTATGTCCGCAATGTAGCACAGCAGTTCACGTTAGACGAGCAGTTTGTGGATGCGGCCATGCCCTCCATCTAAGCGTAAAGCCCAGTCTGGCAATATATCCCGAGCAACGAAGCACAGTAGAAAGCAAAAAGCGAATGTGAGAGCCTTTGAGTGTGGTATACATAGTCACTATGGAGTAGTGCTATGTTTCTATGTATATCATTTGACCAATTTGATATTTAATTCGGTATGACCATCCCTCCTATACAGGCTATCCATCAAATGTCTCATACATGACAGGAAAGAAGAACTCTCATTTCTACGTTGAAGGATCCCTCTGAGCTATATATATATGCTCCTCTCATAGCTGAACTGTGTTACTGCATACTTGCAACAACATGTCTAATGAACTCATAGCAGATACCCTTCATCCAATTTGTTCATCTTATATTCAATTTTGTAGTTACAGTGGAACCTCATTAATACGAACACTGTTAAGCGAAATAACTGTTTGATACGAACCGCTTTGAAATAGCCCACCTAGCTTACAAAACCACAAACGTGCGCATTTTGAGCCAAGGGTTTGCACTTTAGTGCTTTTAATTTTTTAAGTAACTGCCATCCCCATATCCCCTACCATTAATTATTAGAGAAATTACTATTTTTCCACTTGCATATTCACAGAATTCAGAGCAAAACCTTTAAAAGCCCTCCTCAACCCATTTGTAGTGCAGGTCTGTGAATGACAGGTTTAGTCAGCATTTTGTGATATTGTTTCGTCATCACGACCACTACAGTCTCCTTTGTGCAGCAAATTATGGCTTAGTGTTCACACACTAGATCAGTAGTTTTGTTGAGTTTTGTTTGTGAATAGTAATGCAACTTGCTTGCGATACATACAACAGTATTGGTGAGCAAATGTGTGCATAACTTCTTTCATGTGTAACGTATGGCTTTTTGTACAAACCTGTATTTTTGACCAGTGTAGAGGACATAATTGAAGTAATCTTGTAACTACAGATAATAGCTAAGTACCTTCAGTAAATGTTACACAATGTACAGCACAATTTATACATCTAGGTAGGTTCACTTTGCTTCTACTTCTTGTAATAAACCTGCACAAGACATACAATGCAAAATAAAACATTTGTTGGGGTTTTCAACTAACCATTGTGTAACGATTTGGTTCAACACCAACGCTTTCACTTGTACATCCATGTGCTGTTGCTTGAATATGAATGATCCTTCTGTTGTAGCTTGAAGTAGTTTTGAATTTATACTCTGGTGGAATTAGTCCCTATAATGGTATATTAATAAGAAAGACGTCTTCAACAATTTCACTTGGTTATTACCCGTCACCTCCGACTTCTAAAATTGTTATTAATACAGGAGTTGCTCATTTTATGTAGTATTAGCTCGACCAGAAGTGATGAAAAGAGACCACAATAATAAGCAACACTCATACACTGCACTCTGACTGATTCAAGTCACTACAGCTTACATATTTATTATGTTTACTCTTTTCTCATACCTTCTTAGCTTTTTTAATGAATGATTTCAATTGTGCAATCACCCAATCTTCGAAATCCTCGCCTGCACCCCTGTGCAGAGCAAAAGTACATTTATGCAGTTGTTTTTAAGAATAAGACAAACCTCCTGGGTTGAGTAGAGTGCACCTGTGCAGTGCACCCTGTCCCACATTGTAGAGTCTTTCCATTGCTATAACAACCCATAGTGTAAAAAAACAGTTGTAGTTTTTTTTACTTACCTTTGTACAAAGGAGCAAAGTGCCCGTTGTTCTTTATTACCACACTTACATTTCAAAATAAATGTTTCCTAACAAGATATAAAGTCAACAATACATAGCACATTTTGGTTTAATTGACTCACTTTGCAAGAAGGGCATTTATGTGGATAATGACAAGTAGCAACACAATTATGGCTGCCATTTTTGCATTTAATTAGACAGTGCTGTTTGCATTCCTTCTTGCAAATACCATTATGATACTCTTCTTGACACTTATGTCCACATGGGAGTGGTTTTCCACACATCACATTGCATGTGATTTTATCTTCATAACAATAGACAGTGCTTGTCTATAGTAGCATCAGTAAAGTACAATAATTAGAGTGTTAAGGTTTTTGGCTTACATCATGTCCACCAACACACGTTCTCTGTACTTGGGCATAACATGGAGGACATGTTTCTTTATTATGACATGTATGGGTCACTGAGGAAGGAGAAAGTGTGTGTAGTAAGTGAAGTGTTACATTTTTTTCTTTCTCAGGACCTTGGTGGGCACAAGCATGTACTCGTGCACATCGTTTCTTGCATTCTGGTGTTATAGCTCCACACTGTACTCTCACTTCCTCACCACAGTCACATGAGAGCTTTTTTATACCTGATAAAAACACAACATTTGATGAAATTATCTAACTTGCTGTTCCTATACATAGTACTATTGTACCAACGACGTCCACTTATAAGGTGAGTTTTAATGTCTTTCTGCCGAGTCCTAAAGAAAAAGCTGAAGGGTGTGAGAAAATGGTTGTATGCATGAGGTTGCCCTGATCTCTGCTCCCTCCCAACAATAGCTGAAATACCCAAAAAATTTTACTCACTTGTTTTAGTACATTCTTTACAGTCTCCACTGTGGCAGGGTTGGTCACAATCATGGCTACCACAAGGAAGACGTTTCATACACTTCTTATTGCACAAATGTGCCATTTCCTGTTCCTTAGAAGATTAGTTCAGCATAACAAGCTAATAATAATGCACACAGCAGAACTTACTGCACAGTTGTGTTTGCCACACTGATGACGTCCACAATTCATTACTTGCTTGCAGGGCTTAAAGCACTTTGAACACACATACTGATCGGTTAGGTCAATCTCTTGGCAGTCAAGACGTACTTTAACCTTGCACTCATAGCATTGCACAATACGAGATTTTGTACATGGTGGACACGGTCCGTTATGGCATTGGGAACGACAAATGTGCTGCTCACCTGTTGGCAGTATATGTACACTTTTAGTACTTCAAAATGAAGGGGGATATACAGATGGCTCTTGAAGCACCAATAAGGAGGAAAGAAAGGGTCATTCCACAGCAAAGACACACAAAACTACATGACACAGACATCCCTATATCTTTGTCAGATATTTAACAAAAGGAACAAAGATAATTATGGATGGTGTCGCAGTTTTGTGTTTGTGTGCATGCTGCGTAATGACCCCTTGTTTCTTCCTTTTTGGTGCTTCTAGCCATCCCTATATCCCCCTTCATTTTGAAGAAATGACTTGTTCACTCTATTTTTCATGACTGGCTATGATTTTCTATGATGGTCACACATGGGTATAAAGAGAGGTTGACCATGAAGCAAAGTGAAACTGTATGACCAATTGAAAGCACTACATTCGTCGTGACACCTTTTTGGTATAAAAGCAGGGACACTGAAACACAGAAGGTCTAGCACAGTACACAAGCAGTTGCTAATGGGTTGCTGATGACTGAACCCTGGGCAGTATACACAGATGACATTCACGCCCCGTAGTGTCTCCTACAAGGGGGTAATAAGGTTTGGGCATCTTTATACAAAGTTGAGTGCAATATTAGGTAGACGCAAACAATGGAGGCTCAAAGCTCAAAATATTCATCCTACCCTAGCGGCTCTGGCAAACATAAGCGGTTTTCCTACGTGCAACAGCTAGCCACACGCCATGCACATACCCTGCTCCCTGCACGAACCAACATCAAAAGCGTTGTTTTACAACGGAAGGCACTGCTGGTCGTCCAGTGTCTCCTATGGAAGAGCTACCCGAAGTATATACCGTAGTAGCTATCTTGCAACACGATCGCTTGGTGGCCGTGCACACCTCCATCGAATCTGGAAACAAAACCACTGCTTCAACTGGTTCCGGTAAGGAGTTAGCTACTGAAGAAGATGATGATGAATGGCATATGAGCGAATTCTGGCGTGGAGGACTGAAGGGATTGGCGAGCGGGAGCGAGCTAACCAGGCGCGCGTCACGTCGTGCTACTGCGCATGCGTAAGGACGCTGCACATCAGCGCCGTACCCAGCCGCTCGCTACCCACAGGGGAAAGGCTAAACCTGGTACTAAAGACCCAGGGGCGGATCCAGGGAGGGGGTTGAGGGGGTTGCAACCCCCTGTCAAGGACGCCAAGAAGCGGACCACTGACACTGACCTGAAAATCACGTTGTCACCCCAGATGATTATGTAGGTTTAGCGCACCGCCACAGGACAAGCAGCGCGCCCCAAAATTTCACGCGCTGGTTACTCTGTAACATCAGAAACTGAGAAGCATCCGAGTAGCTACGTACGTCACTAACCGCGCCCCCTCCCACCTTGCGTATGCGCAATATTTTACAACCACCAGTTAGTTATCGTGCATCCGCCTCTGACGTCATATCCGTAGTATCCGACCGCTTGTCGAGCGGGAGCGAGCCAACCTTGTCGCCGATAAATACCAAGTTGGGTCGCTCCTAGGCCTGAGACTATTATTCCCACAATTTGTCCGGATATTCTATTCTGAATTTCCTACTCCACATGCCTATTATTGTTTAAAGTTTACCCATTATTCACAGAAATTTACCTATTATTCTGCTTGAAAAATGAAAAAAAAACAGTACTACAGAGCAGGCACATCAATATAACATTAAACATCACAATCATTGTACTGATTACTGAGGTTTCGATCAAGTCCTGGAGACTCCCATACTGAATGTCACTAAAAGATCGCTTGAGAATCGAAAATACTCTCTCTGCTGCTGCCGAAGACGGCTGCACAACTGAGACTTTCGAAGCAGCCGTTGACCAATGAGGTAATGAGGTAATGATCTAGCACGATTCTTCCAGAATGTCAAAGTGTCATGTGATGGATCGACATCTTCACATGCAGCAATGGCTCAGATTTAAGTTGCTCAAGTTCAAGATTGTCAAAAAATGGAAACTCTCATTTGGGAATTCTTTCACACGTTGGGACGGGGTAACAGAGATAGGGTCAAACGCACCATGCCCACGAGCCCTTCGTTTACCTACTGGTGGAGGATTCTTGAGTACTTGTCGTTTTCGGGCAAAATCCGACGAAGTAGGCTGACGCAGACTCAGCAGGAAAGCTGATTCGCTACTGTTAGTGTCCGCAGTGTCGACGTCGGGCAGCACTCGCCTCTGACTGGTTGGTGGCCGTGCTGCTGCCAGGCTGGGACACTGGGGTATCCGCATCTACTGGATGGGAAGACGCCATTTTATTCACGTGGTTTCGAGTCGGAGTCCGTTCCATTTTGACCCACTCCTGCGCGTGACGCGCGTCCACTGACTCCACTCGCACTTCGCCCTTCCGCGAGTTCCGAGTTGCCGCCGTTGCCCGCTCGTCGCAACTTTCAACCTATTATTCTTGGAATTATTCTTATTCCCAGAGGGACCTATTATTCCCGAAATTATTCCGGAATAATCGACGCAGGCCTAGTCGCTCCCGCTCGCCAACAATGTTCAACATTCTTCTAGTAAGGTAAATGGGGGTAACTCCGGACGCGGAAGTAACTCCGGACATGGGGCGTTGCACCGGCCTCGAAATTATTCGCTGCGAAAGAAAAGGCGAGGAAGATTTGTTAGTGCTTTGGTAGGTAGTAATCAAGTGAAATATAACCGAATCTTTCTCTCGTTTTCTGAATTGCGAGTTATGTCCGTGTATTACCCCGTGTCCGAAGTTACCCCCATACGGGGCCCCGTTTAGGACGGCTCGTGTAGACAGTCATTGTGTGCTCGCTCCCGCTCGTCAAAAATACCATGCTAGTATAAAGTAGTTGTGCATTAGGTAAGTGCCTGTAGACTACTGCTAGTGTGTTTTGAAGGCACAGCGAGTCAATCTCGCCGAGTTTTGAGGCTTTTTGCACACAGATCACGTGAGATTTTACCCGTGCCGTCTCTCCCCCGTCGACACCGACGCTCTGGCATTGGCGCGTGCAGGCGTAGCGTTGGAGAAGGGCCACTAGTTTGAAGTACTGGCGCGATGCGCTCTGATCATGACCTTCTCGAACTTTCCCCGCGCCCAATAGCAAAGAGGGTGTAGATCTGAGCTCTGAGCGCTACCTACTTATAATATCGGCGAGTTTGACCAAGGTTTGACGGAGGCGGAACATAAAGTGCGACCTATGCAAAATGCTAGCTAGGGACACAACTCTGTTGCCGTGGAAGAAAGACTGACAGACAGACGAATCAGCTGACAGATGCAAGCTTAGCTAACCAACTCGTAGATTGAGTACGACATGAATCTTTGCACCAACAAACCTTGAGTAGAGCAAGGTAGTTTCTTACCACACCGGCGACCACATGTTGGAGTATCATTCTCCAGAAATGGCTCATCCTGGCATGGAAGAGCAGATAAAGGTGTGGCACCACATGGGCAGTTCATTGTTATGTCTTTCCCAGCTTTTTTCCAGGCCACAAACTCAACTGATGTAACCTTGGTAACAAGTAATGAGATTCACCATGATGATCATCGATCATGTGAATAACCACTATGGACTCAGCAACTACACATCTAAAGATAAACCTCAAATAATCGGCAGACGAAGTGATCTAGCCTGCTTGTCTGAACATGGCCCATAATGTACGTATGATGACTGCCACTTCACATACATAATGTTCTCGCGCTCACTTACCAAAATGATTTAATGCTGGTCATTATTATTATTGTGCTGTTGCTGTTTCATAGACGTCACGCGTCATAAACTGCGTATTACGTGCACACGCAGTTTAGTGATTGTGTTACTTAGTATATCTGTGTCATCCTGCATTATGCCCATACATTTGAGATTTTCATGTTTCACTTTCAGTTTCAATAAGGTCCAACTTTTGACACATCAGACTAATCTATATCCTCACAAAAAGCATGTATCCAAGAAATGGCTTAAATCGCCTAAACGTCAGTTTTAAAAAATCTTCTTGTCGTTGTTCAGTTTCAACAAGCGTATCTCAAAAACCACTTAAGATATGGAGATTAAACTGTGCCCAAAGATTGGAATCCATGGCAGGTCGTGCAAGAGCATTTAATTTGTTTATAAATAATGTTGTTTACATGTAAACAACAAAAACAACAAAACATAGCCCCAGGCCATACATTATGATATAGACCAATAAAGTGTGCTATAAAGCAAATACCTAGAATGATGTAACTTTGCACACATGTGCAACCTATCATTAGTATCAAAATGTAAACATTACAAGTTTTGAAACAACAACAAACAGCCTCAGGCTATAAAAACTTGTAAAATGTGTTTATGCCTATAAATTACTTGTGGTTGATCCTCTAACAATAAAACTTGGTAGACTGAGTCACCATTATAAGAGTTCATCGAAACAGAAATTACAAGTTTGTAAACACAAACAGCCTCAGGCAAAAAAGACCTTTAAATGGCATCAGTGCCTATAACTTTCTTATGAGGTGTCCTCTCACAATGAAACTTGGTGCACTGGTGTAATGTGAATGACGACAAAACGTCTGACGCGATAGCTTAAGGTCACTAATGTTACTTTTTTATCCCCTTTTTATTGCACACCATGCATGTGAATGCAGAAAAAAAGGAAAGGAGACAAGTGAATGAAACATTGTTCAAAAAAGTGTGGAATATAGGGATGCCATAAAAAGTAAGGAGACATGACCTGGTGAATGTGGTGCAGTAATACAATGGATGATGGCTACATAATTATATACTTTGAACTGACATCGCTTGCTCATGTAAATATATATAGAGGAAACAAGTGGAAATATTTTTTATTCAAAATGAAGGGGATATAGAGATGGCTTGAAACACCAAAAGGAAAAATACATCACACAGCAAAGACAAAAAGCTACATGACATGATCCGTTTATCCCTATTTTCACAAGTGAAAAAGAATCATTTCTTCAAAATGAAGGGGGATATAGGGATGGCTCGTTACACAGCTAACACACAAAGCTACCTGACACCATTTCTATATCTTTGTCTGATGGTATTTGCCTTTTAGAACAAAGATATAATTATAGAGGGATGGTGTCATGTAGCTTTTTGTATTAGCTGTGTGATAACCCATTGTTCAGATTGAACTCGCGTAACTCAAAAACCAAATAACATAATTATAGTAATGAAATTGTGTAAAAATGTAGATATCCATCACCCGAAGAGGCTGGTCATACTTATTTGTTTGTAAACAACATTGTTTATCTTACAACAACAACGAATAGTCCCAAGCAATAATACATTATAATGGAATCACATGTGTCAGTGTAACTTGCAAATAGTGTGAGAGACGATTAAACATTCATAGTTTCAACCTCAAAGTTTAATGGTCCGGCGCACCGAACAGAAGGTCCGGCGGACCAGGCAAGCGGTCCGGCAGACAAACAAAAGGGTCCGGAGGACCGCACAAAAGGTCCGGCGGACCAAAGGAATGGACCGGCGGACCAAAAGAAGGTCCGGCGGACCGAACAGAAGGTCCGGCGGACCAAACAAACGGTCCGGCGGTCCAAAAGAAGGTCCGGCGGACCAAACGAACGGTCCAGCGGACCAAAGGAATGGTCCGGCGGACCGAACAGAAGGTCCGGCGGACCAGGCAAGCGGTCCGGCGGTCCAAAAAAGGTCCGGCTGACGAAACGAACGGTCCGGCGGACCAAACAAACGGTCCGGCGGACCATGCAAGCGGTCCGGCGGAACAAAAAAGGTCCGGCGGACGAAACGAACGGTCCGGCGGACCAGGCAAGCGGTCCGGCGGAACAAAAAGGTCCGGCGGACGAAACGAACGGTCCGGCGGACCAAACGAACGAGAGTTCTTTTACACGAGTTCGGGGTGGTTCGACTGGACCGACCCTTCTCTGACTACATCATTACAGGGGATAGAAGGAGTGCTATATATCGTAAAATTTCGTTCCCAGACCCCTTAGCAGTGCTAACGCGTTTGCGTACGCCGGACCTTTTTTGTTCCGGCGGACCGATCGTTTGGTCCGCCGGACCGTTCGTTTCGTCCGCCGGACCGCTACGTTAGTTACTGTTCTGAAGTCTTAAGCAGTAATTAGTATGGTTCCTTAGTTCCTTCTCTCCGATAATAGATGCAGTTTCAGGTGTGTGGCTGGCTACTGAACCAAGAGTCCAAATGGAGTTTACAGGGGGCACAACAGGTAACAATGTAGAGATTGTGTGATGGGGTTGGCGGTGTCAGCGGGCTCAAACCTGTTCATTAACCATGCTTCATGCATGTATCCCATCCCTAACTTGTCTCCCTTTCTTTGTATACCATCCCTATATGCCTCATTTTTTTAATTCGCTGGATTTTTAATTTAGTGTAGCTAGCCCGTGTCAGACTCTCTGCTAGCCACTAGCGTGGAGACCACGAGTAAACGCGTAATATGGGTTCAACCTATCATTAACGGTACTGCGCATGCGCAGTGCACCGAGGGTTTGCACTTCATTGCTTTTCTTTATGATATTGGCAAGACACTCATACCTCTCCTGGTTTGACTGTAGGTGGTGGTATGGAAGCTGTTGGTAACTTGACAAGCTGAGTCTAAGAATGTAGGGTGGAGCAGTAACAGTTACGACTTTAAGTCTAGCTATGGGGCATACATTATACGAATGATCCACGTGTTTAAGAGAACTCTCTACTCTGACTGTTTCTCCACCTCCATACCTGTGTTGAAATGTAACGCAGTGGAACAGGCAGACTACCATGACTCACAGAGGTAGCTCCATTATCCGTGTAGCATTTGACATGGGACAACAAACGACATGATTATGAAAGGCAGCCAGCTCTCCGATCCACCAGCACCCTCTGTCCTCGTGGCAACAGAACACAGACAGTGAGTTCACTTTACGTTGGAAATGCTTATCCAACATTATGCTCCACGGAGAAGTTTTGCAGAGTGAACATGGGCGTCGTCCCTTTTTCTTTATCCTTGTAGCAGCTTCCTCTGAGAGATGTTTACCACAGCATGAAGTGAGGTGAGGCTGGAGCAGTAGACCGTATGTCACTGGACAGAAGAAGTTATCAGATGGCTGCTCAACAAACAGATAATCTTCCTCTGGTGATGGCTTGGGTAGACCGACAGATGGTTTAGCTCTGAAAATCAGTGTAAAGTGAACACTAAGAATACTGTAATCTCTGATAGACATACCCTGAAACAGCTAGTCCAGTGGCTCCAATTGATGCTGCACTGGCTGGACCTCTGCTGTTTGATGGAGTGACAGGGAGCGTCTGTTAATGGAACTGCTATTGTCAGACTCTACTGTTACAAGTAGTCACACTCACCTCCTGAGGTTTACGTAAACGATGCACACAAGCTCCTGCTATCACTAATTTAGTGACTACATGCTTTATGAGAATTGCTTTGGGCAAATTTTTCTTCAATTTTTCGACAACTGATTCCGGTATGAACCAGGTGATGATGAAAGAACCAGGACGAATGTGTGCAATCATCATGGCACACTCTCGCAGGTTATAGTGGGAGGCATACTCTTGTCTAAACTGCTCCACAACTTCTAGTGTCACACTCTTTGGCCAGTCAAACTCAGCAACTAACTCTTGAAATTCTGGTGACAGCTTGATTCTCTTTTTCTTTAATGTCCGACAGAACAGAGTTAATAGTGTCCTTTTTCTAAACTGCTGTAGATCTGATTTGTAGGTTCCCATCTTAGGTTTTACATGATCCATATCAAATTCCTTCACCACGTACTCCAACAAGTGGTATGACAGATAGTTCATGTTGAAGCTCAACTGTCCAATGAGCTCGGCATGATCAGTGGCTTGATAGAAGACACTCAGTTGACTCTGCAAAATCTGTCTGTGTTCCTCAACATCATCTGCTGATATGTTGGTTAATGCATCAACGACTTTCTTAACCGGAACATTTCTCTTCTCCAGACAACTTCTTATTTCACTTGCATTATGA